TTTATGTAGTTGTCTTGGTAACAATACAAAAATGGTTTGCCCTTATACGCTCTAGTCTCATATAACTCTAAATCACCTAATTCCTCATGAATTCACATTTAAGTATTCAGCAGATCCCATTATACTCTGTTTAGCTTTTATTAGCCGCAATATTACATATTGTTATCTACAGTGACAAATATATACACTCCTATGCATTGGCTATTGTGTATACCCAGAATGTATAAAATTATTTTGGCTAATTCCCTAAATTGTAAGACTATAACATCCAATTAAGCAATACAGGTAGTTGTCACCTTATAACTGTAATTGAGTCAGGCAATTATAGTCATAAATTGTGATGGTCATTACATGACCCAAAGAATTTTTTTACAGTCTTTTTTGTGGCAATCATTAAACAAACCACAGCGGTTGCTAAGTGAACCCATTGTTTGCTATGGGATGGTTTTTACCAGAAATTGGAAGTAAATGCTAGCTCCGGCAAAAATGTCATAAATTATGGTCACAGAACCGCGTTTACAAACAGCTGTAAACACTGGAAGGTTGCTGAGCAACCAAAATCTGATCACATGACCTGGGGGTTGGTATCAGAATTTCAAAAAAGGGTCATGTCCCTTGTGGAATGGGCCATTATAACTCTGAATGGTCGCTAAGCAATAGAATACCCGTAATAAACTAAATTCTGGAAATATGGATAGAATATGCCATTTTCTTCTGGATAATATCATGTGATGGCTTCAAAATCCCATGCAATGGGATTAATAATTCACAGGAAGGTCCCCATTTTATATTTTCTGAAAAACATGTGGAGAGTGAGGATTGGGGGGGGGTAACACAACCCTCATTTTTCTGTGAAAATGGTTGAAAGGAAAATATCTCTTTCTGTATATTATGGAACAAAACCAAAAACCCTTGCATTATAGCATTTTGTGAGCCAGGCACATAGCATTCTGACAGGCCAGCAAATTGAACTGCTAAGAACTATTATTATTATTATTTCAGTGGAAAAGGGATTTTGACTTACTTACTAATAATTCAGCATGAAGATCAAGAATAGATATTCACCTCAAATTTAAATATTTAACATTTTCACAAGCTGGCGAATACAAGAAAATGCATTACATTTAGATGGGATTTAATCTTTGACATGAACCTGATATTTGCATAGGGTGACAAATATCAAACTGACATTATGCTGCCTCATTTGATGACTTCCAAATGTCATAGTGCAGGAACCTACGCACAGGGACCTCAGTATTTTTAGATAGTGTCAGCTTAAAAGACATTTACATTGACTGGATTTAAAAAATATTGAAATGTATTTTTTTTTTAAAAAAAAACCAAAAACCCAAAAGACAGAAAGTAGGAAAGTTTGTTGTGAAAGCTTCAATTCTTTTTTATATAGAAGACTTTCACCGCTTGTGTTTTCTGTCGGTTTACAAACATAATTCTACTTACTCCTACATTAACTTCTGAATTGTTCCTCTGACACAGAAAGAACTTTTGTTATCTTTACCTTCTCCCTGTCCAAGTACTGTAGTCCATATTGATGTATCACTCTTACTCTGATGTATCACACTTTAAATGGGATTTCGGTGCTCCAGTTCCTGCATATTTTTATTTATATATGTATGCAACACCGCCATCCTGTTCCAATTGAGTAATTGTATTTTTACAGTGTTATATGCCAGTTGTGATTCTCATTTCACCAAGTTTCAGTGGCGCCTATCATGTCACATTTATGGGGATGCTGTAACTGTTGTAAATATATACCAGCTGCCTGAATTTTGATCACGTGACCCTGGCAATGCTACGAAAGTCACATGTGCAAGAACCATAAGTCACGTTTTCAGTGCCATTGTAATTTTGAAGAGTCACTAACTGAATGGTTGTAAATTGAGGACTACCTGTTCATACATTTCTTTCAGAATGAAAGAAAAGGAATAATTTGGTTTGAGATGTGTTTGAATATTAGTAGTTTGGGTTGGTAGTTGGCTGTTGGTTTGATATCCGAGCTTGGCAATTTGGTCGCAAACATTTCATCTCCATTTAGAGCAGCGGTTCTCAACCTGTGGGTCGCGACCCCATTTGGGGTCGAACGACCATTTCACGGGGGTCGCCAAAGAACGCGATCCGCCATTTTTTTCCCCAGCTGGCAGCACTGCGCCTGCGCGCAGCAGCACACATGTGCCGCCATGCATGGGGGCGTCGGCACGCATGGGGGCCACCGCGCATGTGCGCCGCGCATGAGGGCACCGTCACGCATGGGTGCCGTGCATGGGGGCGCTGCTGCGCATGCGCGCCACGCATGCGCGGCACGTCCTTATGACCGGGGTCGCCGGTATAAAAAGGTTGAGAACCACTGATTTAGAGGGACATTTCATCTCCATTTGGAGGGACAATTGTGCTTTGAATTGTGCTCGTCTGTCAGAGCACTGGCCTTTAAATTGGTGTAGGTGTGATTTGTCCGGATGTTTGAGTCATGGTCTGGTTTTAGACTGTTGATTGGCTGGTTGTTGTTGCTGGGCCATAGTCCTTGGTGTTTTAAGTATCGTCTGTGTGATGCAAATGGTGTTTGTTCACTTGGTTGCCTCTGTCATGGTCTGGTTTCGGGTTGTTTCTTTGGTTGGCTGTTGTTGTCGGGACGTGGTCTGGTTTCTTGTGGGGGGTTATGATTTTTGCTGTGTGGTGGGGTGCCTGTTTGTTCATTTTAAATGCTGCCTTCGAGATTGCAGTTGAAGTAGTTCTTCGTTCTCAGCGGTTGGTAGATTGGGTCGATGTCAATGTTTATTGATTTATTGGTGGAGAACCAGGCTTTGAGGAATTCTCTTTCTCTCCTTGATTTCGCTTGAGTTGCAACTGTGGTCCCGGATAGATCAAAATTGTGTCCGTCTGAGTCTTTGTGGATGGACATGAGGGATAGTGGGTTGTGTCTTTTGATAGCCAAGGAATGTTGTGCAGTCTGGTAGATAGCTTTCTTCCTGTTTGGCCCACATAGTTCTTTTCACAATTGCTGCATTGGATTCGGTATAAGACACCTGATCTTTGGTTTGTTTCTGTCTGCTCCTTAGGTTTTAATAGGGTCCATCTGAGAGCTGAGGCTGGTTTGTGAGCTAGTACGAGATCATGTTGGCATAGTAGTCTTGCCATCATCTCTGAAACATTCTGTACGTAGGGAATTGTGATTCGTCTGGTCGTTGTTGTTCCTGTTGTAGTTTTTATGTTGCTTTGGGTGTTTGTATTGTTTGTGTGCAGGGATCTCTGGATGAAATTTCGTGGGTATCCGTTTTTCTCGAAGACTTTGTATTAATGTTTTTGTTCTGCTGATCTGATTTCCTTGATGTTGCAATGTGATTCCACTCTTCTAATTTGGCTTTTGTGGTCTCTGGGCAACTCTCGCCGATGAGTACTACATTTGTGAAAATATCTTTCAAGCCCAATCTTTGTAACAGTCCTGCCTGAATTGTCCAAGATGAAGGATGCGAAAGATGAAAACATCTTTATGATCCTTTCCAACAATTGGTAATTTAATAACATAACAAGTTGTTCAAGGATTCTTATGCAGTTTTAAATGTAAAAAAGGCAGTGATTGTTAATGTATCAAACTTGTTTCAGAGTGTTAATAATAGCATATTTCACGGTACCACATATGACTATTTATTTTTATCTTGCCTTTATTATTTTTATAAATAACTCAAGGTGAAAAACATACCTAATCCTCCTTCCTCCTCCTACTTTTTCCCACAGCAACTCTGTGAGGCGGATTGGGTTGAGAGAGAGAGACTTTATCCAGGGAATTATTTAGTTGATGCATTAACACTTCATGAACATTATCCTTTTGATTTCCCCTCTCCTCCCAACAACTGGAAGCTCTGGGTTCAGCCTGCTTCTTCTCCTCTTCATCCAACAGAATGAGGCTAGTTTTCTGCAACAGCCCTGTGAAGTAGGTCTGGACCAGGCAAAGCCAAGTTTTAAAGAAAGATCACCTACTTTGCATAGCTGAAACCTGAACATATCTCATGTTCTAATCCTATTATTCTAAGTACTGTTCCAGCCTCTCCACCCCCAAAGATAGGTAGGATTACAATGTCCATAATCCAGCTGCATTGGATGTTGGAAACAATGAATGTTATGGAATGTTGTCCGACGCCTCTTATGGACCTCATTAGGAGTTGCTGAAAGAAAGAATACAGAGAGTCCTCAACTTATGACAATTGAGCCCAACGTTTTTGTTGTTAAGTGAGAATGAGAATGCTGCCACGGTCCTAAGTGTGAAAAACGGTCATGAGCCACTTTTTCAGTACTATTGTAACTTTGAATAGTGAGTATTCAATAGTCACTAAATGAGCTATTGTTAAGTCGAAGACTCCCTGTACTGATACTGATGCACTAAAGCAGTGTTTCTCAAACTTATTTATTCATTTGTTTATAACTCACCTTTATTATGTTTACAAATAACTCAAAGTGGAAAACACACACAATACTCCTTTCTGTTCCTATTTTCTCCACAACAACTCTGTGAGCTGGGTTGGGTTAAAATTAGAATCAGAAAAGAGCTGGAAGTCTCTTTTGGAGGTCTTTTAGTCCAGCCCCCTGCTCAAACAGGAGTTCCTATATACCATTTCAGACAAGTGACTATCCAGTCTCTTCTTAAAAACCTCTAGTAATGAAGCAAGTGACAGGCCCAAGATCACTCAGCCCACTTTCATGGCTAAGGCAGAACTTGAATTTATCTCCCACTCTCTGTCCTGGTGCCAGCTAGACAAAACCTTAGGATCCGTAGACTTCTGTAAAACATATAATCTAAATTCGTCTCATCTCTTCCGTGTGGACATTATCAGTGGGGATTAACGAGCTCCATTTGCAATCTGCGGTTGTTTTGCAACGCGGGACTCGATGCTCCGCCGCAGACATTTGAAACAGCCTCTCCCGTTCCGGCTGCTGAGCACTGAGGTAGCGCATTGCCCCCTGGTGGGGGATATAATTTATTTTCCCTCCACTCTGTTTTTTCTGCGGGCGGAAGTGGAAGTGCTGCTCTCGTCTGTGGCTTGGAGAAGTCCCTTACTGCCATGTCGGCGTTAGCTTTGGAGGAGCTGTCTGCCATTGCTGCTATTTACTGTGGGCGAGAGGAATGCGAGGTGCTGGAAGTGTCAGGTGATTGCTTGGCCATGGTGGCCTCTGGCTATTTCGTCGCCGCCTTTTACCTGGATCCTAATCGTGGCATGGCAAACCTCTGCTTTTGTCTCGAGGAAAAAGAGCAGGGGCTCCCCTAAAACAAGGCTCCCCATCAGGGGCTCCCAGATATTGTGGCTGGTGATATTCCTGCCCCATCTGCAACACAGGCTGGGAATGTGGGAGGCCCAGTTAGGGAAACCTCCCCACAAGAGCCACATCAGTAGCTGCATCCAGCTTTGCACTTTTAAATATAGTTTGTTTGTTTTTATTCCCAAACGTGCTCCCCATTTCTCCCTATAATTGGCATGTAATTCTTTATATGGTAGGTTATTTGAATCCCCCTGAAGAACCAATGATTCGAAGCTGATGGAGCTCCAGGTTTTTAGCCAGATTCTTTTCTTTGTACTTGACTCTCACCCATTTAGAAAGGAAAGAGTAATTTAAATTTTCTATAGGTTCAATAGAAACTCTAGAACATATGCTATTACATTGCTCCTAATATGAGGACTCTAGACAGACTCTTACATACTGTGGCTTGAAGAAATTCCCAGATAGAGAGTGTGATTTCTATTTAATAATGCTACTTAACAGTTCTATTTAATGGCGTTATTGTCAGACAAGGACAAGAAAATAACCTTCAAGTCTCCCAATTCTCATCCCCGTACCATTACTCAGGACTGGAACTTCTTATAATAGTATTTTATTTGGATTTATTTTAGTAGCTATGCTCTTAATTATTTTTAGACTCGGTGATACTCTGTTTTTCTCTTACGCATAAACATACCTAGAATGATAAAATACTACTTTTATTCAATATTTTGTTTGTATTTGGTATTAGGGCTGTAAAAATTGAATTGAATTGATTTATATAAGAGAGGGTCACAATCTCCCCACGGATAGCAGGATTGCCTTCTGGGATGGAAGGAGTAAGATTTCTAAAAGTAGTAAAGCTGTTGCTCTACTACTTCTAGTCAATGGCTTTTTAAAATTGGAATCATTGGTGCTACAGTTTGACACTGATGGATTTGCAGTGTCGAGTATAGGACTCCACGATTGGAAAGACTGTGTGTGATCAACTATGATAGTCCTTATTTAGTGACTACAGTTGGGACCAGAAATCGTTAAGCAAAGCAGTCTCTAAGTGAAAGTGTGACTATAGCTATGATCTTACTTCTGCTTTCTATACAAACCTGTGAGGAATGTTCGCAGAGTTACTTTTTCATCACGGTTGTACATGCAAACAGTTGCTAGACAAGGTGATCAACAAACGAGGACTACTTGAATTGTGTTTATAAAATATTTTTGGTGATAGTGCTCTTAGAGTTAGAATGTAAGAGATGCATAATCTGTACAGTATTATATTTTATGAAGAATTTTTTCCAGAAGCCACCTCAGTTGATGCTGTCGTGCTGTCGTTTTCAATAACATGCATGCCTGTTAGGAGGATCCTTTCTCCCCCCCCCCCTTATGTGTGTTTCTGCACAGTTTTCTAAACTATCCTAGCAGTTGCCCTGCCTTTATTGGTTTTATTATTTATTAAGCATATTTTGATGCTGCCAGAATTGAGACTACTCTCTGTGGCTTACATAGGTAAAAATACAACCTAAAACATCCCAGTACAAAAAATTAAAATATAGCAGCCGTACAACAATACAAAAAAAAAAAAATAGAATAAAGAAAGATAGTAACAGCAGATCAAATGAAATCAGGGGAATCTTAAGGATCAAGCCATGACTGGTATTGTCAAACCTCATTTGGCTGTTTCAGACCAGCTCAGTTTTTGATCAGGAGGCTAAGTTGTGAAAAATATTTTGGAAACATCCTCAGCTCCTTCATCTTTTTTTTTGTTTTTCCTATAAAAAGTCTACACACCCCTATTAAAATGCCAGGTTTTGAGATGTAACATTCTATTTTTTTATTGTTTTTTTTTCATCCTAAAAGATTTCAGTTTTTCAATTGAATTGTACATATTATATGTTATATAAAAGGAGGAAAAAAATTCTGAAGTGATTCATCTTGGCCTGATTTTTCTTTTACATCTCAAAAACCTGCCATTTGAACAGGGCTATCCTGTAGCTTGCATCTTTTATTCAAGCAAGAAGTAATACCAGTTTCCTCTGAGATATGTTTTCTCGCCGTTTTTTCCCCCCTCTGTCTCCTTAGCATGGGGATAAATTACTCGATGTAAACTTTATTTATTTCCCCTGCTTTCAGCTCAAGCGTCTGTAAACATGTAAAATGTTCCCATCTTGTTCCCTTTCCTCTTGTAAGCATTGCCCTTCCACCCTGCCTATCTGTCAACACCTGCTGGTAAGCTGAACCAAACAGTCTCCTTTGCTGCCAGTAGCCACTGAAAGCCCCAAGACTGCTCTACAAGAGTTTACCACCAGACTGCTAAATATCACTAATGCCCATTAAATATGCATTCTGATATATTGCAAACAAAAAACAAACAAAAAAACCCACACACCTTAGCTTCTTTAGTCTGGGATGCTATTGGTGTAATTTCTGTCAGAATTTTGTTTGCATGGTACAGATATTTTTAAATATACTTGTGGGATGTTCCAAGGCCTGTTATAGGTTACAGTGAAACAGTCTAGATCAGGGGCAGGCAACCTTGGCTCTTTTATGACTTGTGGACTTCAACTCCCAGAATTCCTGAGCCAGGAATTCTGGGAGTTGAAGTCCACGAGTCATAAAAGAGCCAAGGTTGCCTCCCCTGGTCTAGATAAATAAACTTATTTAAGTAACAACGAGATCATACAAATAGCTTAATTTCGATGTGGGGGGAGCTCAGAAAAAGTGATCATTGCCCCACTGGTCTCAGCGGCTGGTTGACATTGTCTGGATTTTGAAGCTAAGCAGCTTAATTAGACTTTGGATAGGAGGCAACCAGGTCCTGTGTTTGCAAACCACCTCCATCCTGATGCCAAGAAGACTGCATGGATTCATTCATAAAACCTCTAGAAGTCAAGCTTGACTTGAAGGATATTTTATTTTCTTGAGGGTGTTTTCTCTATTTGAGACTCTAGTAGAAACTAGATTTGGTGCTTTGCAGGAAGTGAACATTCTCCCTGGTGGCTTTGAGTAGATAATGAAGACTATGGGAAAAAGACCTTTGGAATTTCTGGAATCTACTTGGCCTGAAATCCCCTAGTGCTATCAGTTGAAAATGACCCTGCAGATAGGAATGTAAACTTCTTCAGGTGCTCTCTTTAGTTACTAAAATAGAGAATTGATAGTGTCAACTCTTCAGAGGAGGCCTAAATACAACCAGCTGTACTTTGACATCTCTTTTCTGAGAGAAGCTATCTAATCAGATCAACCAAGGATATTTTGGTGCCAACTTTACATTGCAATGGACCCAGAAAAATTGGTTTCATCCAAGCGTGCTGGAGTAGAACAACAGCCCTTAAGTATCCTGTCTACCTCCTCAAGGTTTATTTATGAAAGATGATCTCCTGCAACTGGATCAGAAAGAGTTTTTGGATGCTTCAGTAGAAGCCGCTCTTAATGTTGATACCACTGTCAGCACATATGAGTGAATTTATCAAAGAGCCTAACAAATTAAGCATGGAAGGTTCTAAATAGTTCTGATGCCTCTCTCTTGAGGTTTAGTTAAAATAAATCTTTTATCGCTGAATGGGCTCCACTGAATGGTTACTTGATGCAGTGGTGTAGAGAATGAATCTCATATGTCTAGGAAAACTATCCTTGAAAACAGACAATTTGAAAACCACTGATGTGCAGCATATTGTGACAGTTTATCTAGGTGTGCCTCTGTATTGCAGGCACTCACATATTCCTCACCAATTATTCTGAGTATCTAATTTTATTCTGTTTGCATTTGTATTAGCAGGGGCAAATTCCATTCAGCATCTTTTTCCTGACAGTTTTAGAAAGTCCTGCATCTCTACCATTGGCAGCTTTTGACACAGCAGATTCTAATGGATGTCATATTTCTGTCACCATTTTTTTAAAATCTTCAACTGAAGATGGGTAACTTTGATGGGTGAGTGAATGATGCTAGTCAGAACTGGCTTGCTAAAAGGGAACTGGAAATCTACAATAGTAATTTTTTCTCTCTTCCAAGTATAAGTCCTAAAGATTGAAAAAAGAAGGAAAAAGTAATAATACAGTGTTCATTTCTTACCCTGGCTATTTGATTATTAAAGTGAGGCTTTAATGTACTTTATATTGATCATGTCTCATATTTCTTAACTGATCAAAACACATTTTGTAAATAGTCCTTTGAGTTACTAGAGTCTAGCTTCATGTGATACTAATCATATGGCGAGCAATCATGTCACTTAAAGAAATACATGTTTAATTAGTACACCCCACATGTAGTGGGGTGCCCCAGGGCTCTGTTCTGGGCCCAGTGCTCTTCAACATCTTCATCAACGATTTGGATGAAGGGATAGATGGGGAACTCATCAAATTTGCAGACGACACCAAGCTGGCAGGAATAGTCAACACTCCAGAAGACAGGCTTAAGATACAGAAGGATCTGGACAGACTTGAACACTGGGCACTAACTAACAAAATGAAATTCAATGGTGAAAAAAACAAGGTTCTACATTTAGGCAAGAAAAACCAAATGCAGAAGTACAGCATGATAGCAGTATTCCAATATCTCAGGGGCTGCCATAAAGAAGAGGGAATTAAGCTATTTTCCAAAGCACTGAAGGCAGGACAAGAAGCAACAGGTGGAAACTAATTAAGGAGAGAAGCAACCTAGAACTAAGGAGAAACTTCCTGAGAGTGAGAACAATTAATCAGTGGAACAGCCTGCCTCCAGAAGCAGTAAATGCTCCAACACTGGAAGTTTTTAAGAAGAGACTGGACAGCCATTTGTCTGAAATGGTGTAGGGTTTCCTGCCTGAGCAGGGGGTTGGACTAGATGACCTCCAAGGTCCCTTCCAACTTTACTACTATTACAATTATTTAATTGAATACTATAGTTACCTTTTTCCTTC